CTCAATAATAATTTTATTTCAAGGCAAATAAAGTTAAAGACCATTGTTTCTAGAAACTAATAACTCTTGATTAATCACAGATCAAACAAGATTAGACGTTTATAATTTGTTGAGGTCAGTCCTACACAAAGAAATTAGAAACATATCTTAATTACAAAAACACCAAAGTCTCAAGAGATGAAGGTAAATAATTTTGGTGTAATAATAAAATTAAAACTTTTCAAAGTACAGTTTAAAAAAAATTGATTTCCGAATTTATATGCTCCAGTTTTCAACGAAAGCAGAGTTAAGAACTATAGTGCATGTGAATATTTATGACCATACATTTACATAATGTTGAATTCCTCGCATAAAACTAAAATTACCAAAATATATCAGTTGGATTCATCCATTTTGAGAGAACTTATCGATTAACTGCTCATCAACTAAACCGTATGTTACATTGTGAACTGGTGGAGGTAGCGAAGTTTACGAGACACATAACGCTTTAGATGAATTCATGAATATTTGGAAGCCCTGATACAGTATAATTTTAAACAATGCAATGATTTGATTAGAAGTGTGAAAACAGTGTCATGAAGTTTCTGTTTTTACCAAATATTCAATGTGTACACTGCTTTTGTTATATCTTTCTCTACGAGAAACACTCATTCTACAGTTAATAAAACACCTATATTTATCCATTTCAACCTTAGGCACTACTATTGCCAGAGGGTTTGACAGTGAAATAGCTTGAATTTATCCTGAAACAAAACAATTGATGTATAAAACATGTTCAATAATCCACTGGTCGACAAGCACTCCTTTCATGTTGCCGCCAACTGCGTCTAAAAATTTACATATACCTGCCAAAGTAGCTACGGTGATCTAAAAGATAGGAATATATATCTAAAAAAATTTAAACGTTCCAAAAAATCTAGCCAGAGAAAATGTCGTTTTGTGGCCCGGGATATGACTCCAATTGTAATATGCTATGAAATAAGTCTTTCATCTAATTTCCGTAGATCATTCTTAGACAACCCTCGTTTGTGCGAAGGCACTGGTTAAATTACTCAATGTGGCTAATTCTGGATGAATTGATTTCAGACAATCATGTAAGCAGACAATAAAGAGAATCGTAAAAGCCAAGCTAATGGAAGCGGGGAAGTAGACTGAGCCGGCCTAATGTTATGAGGCATGACTAAATATTTATAGTCAGAAGAAAATAGGCTAGACATGTGATAAGCAAAGTAAGCAGTGCAAATAATCATCTCAGTAAACGCAACCAAGATTGTAAGCGAATAATTGACAAGGTCAAAAGACGCACAAATGGAGAAAAGGTTATTTAGTATTTTCCAAAAACCAATTCAAGCCATATAGGCTCAACACATCGGTATATACACTACAATTCACTGTAGACAGTGTAATTGGAGGATATCAGGTAGATATCATGCAATCTTTCAAGGTGATTAATAGACAGCTAAGCTCTAGTCTTCTGAAATTTGCTGAAGACATTTCAATCAGCTGTATGTAACATGATTTATATGTTCAAAAGCAGATAGTTGTCAATAATTCTTTGCTCAAGTAACATTTATCCCTTCATTATGTCATTGATAAGGTTAGGTTGTCACTTAAATCAGTATAGCATTCTTCTGTCTGCATTTAGAAACATAATTAAACTAACGTTTTGAATTTTAAAATATTTGGATTAAAAAAGTCTACGTTCATTCTGTGTTTGTCTGTAGAGAATGTAAAATTGGGGTCACATTTTAAACTGGCCACTAGATTCAATATAACACTAACAATGGAATTCGTACAACACATGGTATTATCAAGGAACTGTAGAAGAAATTTTATTTAAAATTATGGCTTAGATAAATTTATATGACTATCAGAATACAGTGATATATTACAATAAATGATCCATAATAGAGAATCTTCTGGAATAGGAATACTGTTATGCGCGTCAATTGATTTGTTTGAAACTATTACGAGTTCACCTTAGTCAGTAAATGAAAGCGAAGACAAATGATGTAGTGACACGATAGACTACTGTTATCCGAGCATCTTAATGCCCCACTAAGTAGATGAAGAAGTCTTGACAAGATGTAGAAAGTGTATTTTACAAGCACCCCGAAAATATGAGGTCCACAAGCACACAAATCAAGTTTATTTATACATCATAGAAACGCCCGTGAGAGATCCACGAAAATCGCGCAGTAAAATAAAACAACAACCAATAAAAGCCAAGGATTTTCCGGGCTGAAAATGTGTCTTCAAGGTCAACTGATCAGCCTATGCTCGAACACATAAAATCCAAAATAAGGACCTTTATCAAGTGAGTTCTGGGGATCTAAAATCCCCAACAAATACGATTTCATGATTTTGCTTTGATGAAAACTAAATACACGTAACTATGTTGATGAAAGATTTAAACAACACATTGAATTTTATTTCAGTGTCGTTACGTATTTAACAATTCCAGAATGCTCTCTTCACTTTACTGTCTTGTATATACTTTTATGTTCATTATTCTCATTGAAGCGAATGAATAATATTCCGAACTGATTTCATTGCAATAATAACAATTACAAACAATTACAATAATACAATATATTTTATTGTAAAATCTTTACCTACTGTAATGCGTAAACGATCTCTATATAAAAATTAAATTTAAACTAAAAAGTAACATTTTCACAGTCTGGTTATGAACGTTGACTTTAGATTCTAGAGTTTGACCTTATTTACATACTTACTTACGCGTGCTACCCCCAATGGAGCATAGGCCACCCACCTCCAACCTACTCTGTCCTGGGCTTCCCTTTCCAGTTCTGTCCATTTTTTGTTCATTCTTCTCATATCTTTCTCTATTTCACGGTGTAATGTGTTCCTTGGCCTTCCTCTTTTCCTTTTGCCTTCAGGGTTCCATGTGAGGGCTTGTCTTGTGACGCAGTTATGTGCTTTCCACTGTGTGTCCAATCCACTACCACAGCTTCTTCCTGATTTCCTCCTCCACTGGAATATCGTCTGCTCTCTCCAACAGTAGGCTGTTGCTGATGGTTTCTGGCCAACGAATCCAAAGTATTTTGCGAAGACAACTGTTCATAAATAATTGCATCTTCTGGACAATAGTTTCCGCTCCATACAGTAGAACTGTCTTGACATTTGTATTGAAAATTCTGATTTTTGTGTTGATTGATATTTGTTTGGAGTTTTGGATGTTGTTCGAATGTAGAAATGTAGCTCTTGCTTTGCCGATCCGCGCCCTCACATCTGCATCGGATCCACCTTTCTCGTCGATGATGCTGCCCAGATATGTAAAGGTGTTAACGTCCTCCAAGGTATCTCCATCAAGAATGATTTGGTTGGTACATGTTGTGTTGCATCGGAGAATTTTGCTTTTTCCTTTATGTATGTTGAGACCTACTGCTGCAAAGGCTGCTGCTACACTGGTCTTGCTCTCTTGCATTTGTCGTTGCGTGTGCGATAGAAGAGCCAAGTCATCTGCGAAGTCCAGATCATCCAGCTGCGTCCTATCTGTCCAATGAATACCGTGCTTCCCTTCAGATGTCGAAGTCTTCATAATCCAGTCGATCAACAGGAGAAAGAGAAAGGGTGAGAGTAAGCAACATTGCCTGACACTGATATTCACTTCAAACGAGTCTGTCATCTGACCTCCATGCAGGATTTTGCAGTTGAATCCACCATAAGAATTCCGTATGATACTGATTATCTTCTCACGCACACCGTAGTGTCGAAGAAGCCTCCACAGTGTTTTCCTGTTCATGCTATCGATTGAAGTGGATGTGAAACATTTATCTTGTTAAGTAAAATGAATAATCATAGTTTCTTATTAGTATGCTACGATAAGAAACAAACTTATCAGAAGGGTAAGGTTTTCCATTTTCACAAATCTATATGTAAGATTACCTACTCATTTGTATATACATGGAAAAAACTAACTGATAAATCTACAGTAGATACTTTCGTTGAAACGTGCGAAAATAAGTAATGTCTTGTGATTGTTCTTTAGAATCCCAGTCCAAATATACAAAATGTGACTTAAATAGTAAATTTGAAAAACAAAATAAACAGAATTATTGCTTATGAAGATTTATTTTTCGTAGACACTTTATTAATGCAAGCCATTTATTGGTATACTCACTCTTATATTTATTGATATAATTTCAGTTATATTAAGTAAAGAGATTTCCTGAAACGCAATATGTAATTAAAGCTTTAAAAATTTATTAAAAAAAAAGCTAAAAATGAGCTAGTTACCGAGAACGTATTTAAAATGTTTATGTACAATGATGCATAGTAAAAGACAGAAAGTAATTTACCACGTAATAAATATCTGTTTGATGCTATTTGCTTTTCAATTCAATTGTAGACTTCTAGCTATTTGTTCAATGAAACAATATCTTCATAATTAAATTAACTTTGTTTTTTGTTTTTTTCATCATGGTAAGCGAACAATCAATTCATTACATAAATGCACTTTAAAAACACATAGCGCATTTTCTATATAATTTCTTTTGTCATATGACATTGAATTAAATCAATTAGCATAGTGTAATAATATATATGTATATATATACATCCCCACCTGATACAATCATGTAAAAATTAATCAGAGACATACGCTTACACCACATTGTTCTTTTTAAAACTGTGATTATTATTATTATTATTATCATTATTATCATTATTGACAAATGTTACAATGAGTTATGTGTACACTTATTGTATACACAAACGTTTCATGCTGGAAAAAAATTTAAATTTACACTAAAAATAATCATTTCATTAAAACAAATATTTATAGTCTGTATGCAATAATATTTTTTTTCTCCATTAAATCCACGTCAATATGAACAATAAACCAACTAATGTGAGTTTATTTTATTTTACTTAGAAAATATGAACATGCACACACATAGAACATTGTAATCATACTTATTACAATCAGTACTATTATTATCATTATCATTATTATTATTACGCTTACAGTCTAAATGTCACAAATACATTCTAAATGTCATAAAAATCTAATTCATAATGAGCAGAATAAAGATTTATGCCAAAATATAGATCAGAAAACACGACAAGTATTATTTTTTGAATGTGATCTTCAACTTGTCAAGCAAACATTTTTAAAAAACAATGAAAAATTCACTGAACAACATGCTACACATTTATTGGAAAAATATATACGAAGACGTAGAAAATCAAAGTGTACAGCCTATTTTCTGACAGATCGAATACGTTTTCAACAAAGAAAAGTTATTGGTATTAAACCATTTCGTAAAGAAGTGATTTATCGAGAGATTAGACATTTTTTTGTATTTCCAAATCATCCAGAAGTTTTCATGATTTGTATTGTTGATGAGAATAAAGATAAACGATCGTATGAATTGTATCAGTGTATTGATTATAATGCTGTTGGTACAGTTTGTAATTTAACATATAAAGCATCGATAGATACGTTCAATACACTGCATGAAACAATACCATTGAAATGGATTACTTTAACGTCAACATCTCCTCCAACAATCAAGCATTATACAAGACAAGACAATGAATATCCAGAATGGAATCGTCCACTGAATGAAATACACAGAAATGTAAATAGACGTACAGATTTTGTTAAACCTTCAGAAAATATTGTTACTGATAAAATTAACAATCATTATAGGCAAAATGATTGTGATACCAAGTTAACTTTGAATGTTGCAAAAGTATTTCCAGTACACGATGATGATGATGATGCTGATGACGATGACAAGAGAGAATATATGATGAACGAAGAGTCCAGAACGAAGACAGTAAATATTTCTGAAGAAGCTATAAATTCACCATTTTCTTATGATGATTTAAAGTTATTTCATTCAAAATTCTATTCACTACATAATTTATGTCCAAATAAACCGGACATCACTAGTACAGAGATGAATCCAATCGAAAATGATATACATTATGAATATACTTTACATAAGCTGCTCCCTTATTCCAGGAATAATCATGAACAACTAGAGATATTTCATGAGGATAACAGAAACAAAACATTTAAGTCAAAACCATTCCGCTTAACATCATTATCACCGGCAATATCTGTTGAGGAATCTGATTTCAACAAGTATGTAGATACAAAACAAGATTTACTATCGACAAATTATCATTGTAATTCCACATTTGTCGATACTAGGAGAAGTTCCATTTTATCCAGTCATCATTTAAGTTCACCTTTAGTTGATAATCATGAGGCTAGTTTGATGAAAACATTTACGTTAGCTAAAGGAAACAGTCTTGTATGTCATAAAAAACGCTCACATATTTATCAAGATGTTGTAGATATGAAGAATAATGATGATTCATTTTATGATAACAATTCTGATGATTTTGGTTTTCAAAATCATCTCAGAAAGTGTAAATCAACCATGGACATCAGATTAACTGATACAACCTATTTATGTTATGATCCTGTTGTCGGTGTACGAATAAACAATAAAGGCCCAATATATATGTATATGGAACGTTATAATTCTATTCATTATTGTGTTGATTTGGGAACTTATTGACTGATAATGTGTGTTTATAATATAATATTTTGTAAATTTCATGTTTCTTTTTGCATCAAAAGTCAACTATACACTAATTTATTTCATGTATATATATATATATATATATATATATATATGTATATATATTTATATATTCTTATTTATCAGAATGATTCATAAAATGTTTGACTTACATTATTTCGGCAAATTCATGAAAAAAATTGCACTGATAATAATCTTATAGTTTAATAATTTAAGATAATGTGTAGCTTGAGGATTTTAAAAATCTTCTTTCTTTGTAATTTTTTATCAAAGATTATCATCCAACCCAAGCGTTCATTTCTTTGTTTTTCTATGTCACTTTAATATAAAATTCACTAACTGATTTAATATCCCATAAAGCAGGATATGTCCTCAGTGTAGTAAAGTTAAAGTTAATATTGATTCCATAGCATAGAACTAATGGCAATACATCTCAAAGTTTAAGGTTATCTACTAGATATTTCTCACCAATGCTTCTCACCAATACATAGTACAGATTATAATCAACTCAAAATTTAAATTGGTCAGCCTGATAGATAAATTTGAAATACAATTTTTTTTTCTCTGAACTTGATAAAATATTAATAAAATTTCAATATTCAATTCATGAGTTACATGCTTTAAATAAAAAAAAAATTCACACAAAATATATTGATTTCTAGTGACTAGATATATCTTGATAACTATAACGTGTTCCATCAATGTGATTGATTCTATTTGACGTATATTGGAATTCAACTAAACTTTCTGCATTTTTGATTTTCTGCTTTATCTTTTCATTCTTCAATTATTGTCTCGAAAGGTAATCACTAAATTTGTTTCAATGCCTTAACTTCTATTATAACATATGATAATATAAACTCAACAGAAGAATCCGAATGAGTTCAACTAATATTACGGAAATATGAATGAATCAAACTCACTTGATAATATATGAGGATATGAGGGAACTGAAAGATTAATACAGTTTTCTAATACTTGAGATGATGAATATCACCAGAAATCAATTAGAGAAGATATGATGTTTCTTCTGGTATATTGACAATTTATTTAAATACTTGAGTAATAATAAGAATGCCGGCGCTGTGAAGAGGGAGAAAAGAAAATGCTCATCTAAACAAATTACAACACACATGCACTTTTGTTCTCATGTATGTTCTCAAGTATTACATAACATGTGGTTTCTTTGTGATAGCCTGTCTAAGAGAGTTTATAAACAATAGTAATTTTTGCACAATGTATACATCAATTATATCAATCTATTCAGTTAGGTTAAACAAAATTAGTTCAACATGTAGAAAATTATGATCAAGCAAATTTTCATAGTTAACACTTTAACGATTGAAATAATGACTTCTTTATTAGGCATGAACTTCACTTTTAGCCCCTTCAGTATACTGCCGATCCCAGGAAACCCCTCCTAAAGCCTCTCTGAGGTTAAGGTCGGTTCCAAGCCCAGATAAATGAGGAGGGTTGAGAGTGGGGTCAGCGACGCCATCCTGAGGAAAACTAACTCGCTAAGAATGTTAGCCAGAAAAATAATTCAATCCATTCAAACTCTTTACTGGCACTTGCAAGAGTTATGACGTCTCATGATGAAAGCCGAGTTCCTTCAGAAGTCACAAGATTGATGCCTGTGTTCACGACCAGGGCAACCATTAATTTAGGTATATGGAATTTTTGTACAATTTGAGAGACCAAAAGAGTCGTCCAAGTTGCTGCAGAAATGAAAAGATACAACCTCGAGGTGCTTGGAATCTGTGAAACACATTGGACGCAGTTTGGACAATTGAGACTAGCTTCAGGAGAACTGCTGTTACGCTCCGGTAATGAAGAAGAAAATGCCTCACACACAAGGAATTGCACTGATGCTGTCCAAAGAAGCAAAAAGGCACTGATAGAATAGGAATCTCATGGACTCAGGATCATTAACGCATCCTTCAAAACAGAGAAATAGTGTATTACAATGAACACCATCTAATGCTATGCACCAATCAACGATTACAGTGAAGACCCTCAAGATCAATTCTACGAGAGGCTGCAGTCAATCGCTGAAAAATGCCAATCAAAGGACTTGACTATTCTGCCGGAGGACAAAACTGGATATGAAGACATCATAGGACGACATAGACTGGAAAAAAGGAACAAAAATGGTGAAAGATTTATAAGCCTATGTGTGTTTAACAAACTCGTCATAAGAATCACCATATAACCACATAAACTCATACACAAAGCCACTTAGATTTCACTCAATCACGCTACACAGCACCAAATGGACCATATCTGCATCATCAAAAAGTTCAATAGGACCATGGAGGATGTGAGAACCAAGAGAGAAGCTGACATAGTCTCAGATCACTACTTGCTGGCCGACAAAATGAAACTGAAACTCAAGAAACACAGGATAACGAGACGGGAAACATCACAAAAGTTTAATATGGCCTTTCTTCGGGATACTGATAAATTCAACGAATTCAAGATAACCCTCAGTAATAGGTTCCAGGCCTTTCACTATCTACTTAATGGAAAGTAAACTACCATGGAGAACAGTCGGAAAATTAAGAAGGAGGCATTCACTTCAATACCTTAGGAGGTTTTGGGAAATTACCATGAACCAAAACGACCAGTAAAATGTAAGTAAGGCAAAGTAATAAACAACATTGAAGACCAGCGAAAGAGGTAGGTGGGGCAATTTGAATGACTCTTGAATCAACTGGCCTAACTAAACTCACTCGACATCAAAGCAGCATCCACGGACCTCCTAATCAATGTTGACCTACCAAAAGTTGAAGAAATCAGTATGACCATCAGACAAGTCAAGAGCGGCAAATCAGCAGGACCAGAATACATTCCAGCAGAGGCAGTGAAAGAAGACATAGATGAAACTGAAAAAATATTTCACATTCTCTTCAAGAAGATTTAAGATGAGGAACAGGTATCGTCAGATTGGAAAGAAGATACCTCATCAAAATACCAAAGAAAGGCGATATCAGCAAGTGTGAGAACTACAGAGGCATCACTCTTCTTTCAATACCAGGCAAAGTCTTCAACAGGGTATTGTCAAACAGAATGAAGGACTTCGTAGACACTCAACTTCGGTTTCAACATGAACAAAGAGAAAAACAAGATTCTTCGATACCATACAACATGCACAAACCGAATCACACTTGACGGAGAAGCTTTGGAAAATGTAAATACTTTCACTTATCCGGGTAGCGTTATTGATGAGCATGGTGGATCTGAAGGCACGGATCAGCAAAGCAAGCAGTACACTTCAAAAACTGAAGAACATCTGCAACTCAAAACATTAGCAGTTGTCTATGCGAAGTACTTTGTTTCCGTTCACACCATCAGCAACAACCTTCGGTAGGGGAGAACAAATCAGATTATAGCGGAAAGAGAAGTCAGAAAGAAGAGCTGGAGGTGGTATAGGACACACGTTGAGGAAATTACCCATAATGGAAACTAAAATGCTTCGGAAGGTATCAGAAAGATTCCTCTTCTTACAACTATAACAATGATTAATACAGGCTTTTGGAATGTTCGGACAATCTTATAGACCGAAAGGACTATTCAGTTGATGAAGAAAATGAAAGAAAAACGTTACTAAGCTTCGAATAATTTAGATCTATTGAAGTCAAGATGAAAAGCGAAGGTTAGTTTGAGATGGGTTCTGTTGTAGTTTGGTTATGAAGAGGGAAACTCCTCACACACACAAGAAGTTCATTTAATGCATTCCCAAGACTCAAAAAGTTTTATACGGTGGGAATCTCATGGGTCGAATAAAATCAAAGCATCATTCAAAATAAAGAAGGAAAAAATTATAAGGAATGTCATCTAGTGCTATGTGTTCACTCACGACAGAATTGAAAATAATAAAGATTAGTTTTATGAGGTTCTACACTCGATCGTAGAGAACTGCTAGTGAAAAAACTTGACCATCTTAATGGTGACTCTGAACATCAAGGTAGGAAAGGACAACACCAAGTATGAAGATATCATGCGAAGCTTGTAAATCTGTATGCTTTCAATTTGATGGTTAGGGGGAAGTCGTTTTCCCACACCTACCCATATATAAAGCTATGCAGGTTTACTGAATCACTCTACGTAGATCCAGATCAACCACGTCCAGACCAATAAAAGGTTTAGAAGGTCTATGGAAGATATAGGAATAAAATGAGGAGATAGCATCGTTTCAGACCACAACCCAATGAGAACTGAGCTAACAGTAAAGTAAAAACTGCATTGAATAGTTTAACAAGCACCGAGAACGTTACTGAAGTTTAAAACATGCTTCCAATATAGCTCTCAACAAAAAATTCTAATTGTTAAAGGATCCATTAGAAGAAATGGAAACCAATAAAGAGAGCAACTGGAAAGGAATCAAAGAGGAAAACTTCAATATGTTAGAAGGGGCTGGGTCCCGATAAGCAATAGCATAAAAGTATAGATAGTCAAGGTTAAATTTAAGGAAAGGAAAACAAGAAGAGAGTAGTCAAGAAACGCAAAACAAGAGCAGATAGAATCAGGGCGCAGGCTCAGTACATAGAAATAAACAAACAATTTGAAATGTACGGAATACCGGGAAACTATGATAGAAAAAGACTGGAAAGATGGAAATATGAGAGAACTTTATGATACATTATAGAAGCTAACAGGGAAATATGCCACTGAGGTTCAGGAACAGAAGAACAGTTGGGCAGAACACTTTGAACAGCTCTTGAGAAAACCATGCTGCACACATAAATAGCACCAACAAACGTTCCGATAGATCTTATCCAACCATCAATGAAAGAAACCAGCAAGAACATCAAACAAATCAATGGTAACAAAGAGGTGAGACCAGACAACATTCCGTGTGAAACACAAATCAAATATAGAGGTAAATGCAAAGATACTCCATGTTCTCGTCAGAAAGATTTTAGAGGAATAATAAGTACTAACAAACTGGAGAGAAGGACACTTAAACAGTGTTTTTAAATCTGATCAAAGAATTGGTAGATGTTGAACTTCGAGATCAACAGGCTGGATTAAGTAAGGATTGATCGAACACTAATCAA